TATATATATATATTCAAGAAACCCCCATCCTCAGCATTTTAACAGATGCTGACTCGATGGATACTACATATCAAGAAATGGGGTAACTATTTTTAAACTAATATTTGTAAAGAATAAAAAAACAAAAAAAAAGTTAAGAAAGATTAATGAAACCCAGTTTTCATTTTGGCTTCAGGTAGGCAAGGAAAAATTAGTTATTTGCAAAGAAAAATAGTGACTTCACAGTACATTTTCAACATACATAAAAGTTAGAAAAATAAGACTAGTTACATCACCTCATCTCCAGGCTTGAAATAGGAAACATTTAGCCCACATTCCATAATTTCACCAGATACATCTCGACCAAGTATTAGAGGAAATTCACTCCCTGAGCTTTTCAATTTCAGCGGATCACGCTTCATATTTAAAGCAGCTGCTCCATAGCCATCTATAAACATGGTTTAACAGAGTAGGATTATTTTTATCATACTGCACAAATCAAACCAGTGAATAAGGTGTTTAATCCATGCATAACGCAACTTTGAAATTTGCATTTCCACCCCTGAAATTTTATTTTTACTATTCTGAAATGTTCTCATATCTAAAAAACTAGAATCAATTAGAACAGTATTATTTTATGTTTTAAAAAAGTTTACACAAGTATCAACATTTTAGTCTTTTATATTTCTTTTGTTCCCTATTTGGTGCATAATACAAAACTATTAAGTATCATAAAACCATTTAGCTATTTAGAACATATTAGATATCATACTGACAGACATTTTATTATTTCATGATCAAAACAGTAAGTTAGCATGTGATAACACGCAGCACTTTATTCTCTTTAGAATTTCAGTTGACAACATACAATAATACTTAATAGTTTATGACACAAAAGAATTACCAAATGTGTCCTTTTTCTCTTGAAGGGAAGGATGACATCAGCACCCATATAAACATGGAAATCACTAATGGCCTTACACAAAGAGGTACTGAGCAATTCTAAGGTCCATTAAATAAATATGACTGTTCTGGACATCTCATGGTCATGCTCCAAAAACAATAAAATCCTGTTAGAACTAAACATTTCCTATTCATTAGACGGTTGCTCAGATGTACAGGGCCTACCAAATATATAGAAGCAGAGTGCATAACTGTCCTATTATTTAAAAAAAAAAAAAAAAAACCTCATAGAAAAATGAGCAATCACAATCTTAATTATGCAATATTATAATAAAGAACCCTGAAGGAACACTCAAACATAAAACATCCTCTCAGAATGAAAATACGGTCCTTTATAATGTAGGGATGTTGAAAAGCTCAACCATTACATGCACCTGCAACAGGCCATCAGACAGCTTCCCAGGAGTTGGTGCATGCCAATGCCAGCTTTTAAGCCAGCTCTCCTGACATACTGGTTCTTGCCTGCCAACTTGCTCCCAGGGAACCAGCTGCCACCTGCACTGCAGCCTTTGGTACAGAGGCAGCAGCGCAGGGCAGCAGCCAGCTCCCCAGGAACCGGTGCATGCCAGGACCTGGCTTTCTAAGCCTGAGCCTAACACGCATTGGTTGACCCAAACCCCACTCCCAGGGAACTGGCTGCTGCCCCCACACTGATGCCTCTGATAAAGAAAGTTCCTTCTGATAGTGAATTTTAAAATTTTAAGTATGTGAAAGGCTGCAACCAGCTGCTTGTATTACTAAACTGAAACCCAGCCTACTTTTGCTTTATTAGATGCAGAATAGTCTAAAATGTATTCAGCACTCATCATGACAATTTAACAGAAAACGGTTCTGTAAGACACTCTTCCTACAATACTCATGGAATTTTTTCCCCAAAAAGCACTGTTTAAAAACTATTGTAGCCAAATGCATATTTTGGTCTATAACTTACAACAATTTAATAAAAATAATATAGGTATAATAAATTAATTTATCGTATGAACCAAGAATTTAATGCTAAAATACACAAAAATATAATTCCTACTCAAAATAAATCACTTACTTCTCATATTAACATCTATCGGGTTTAAACTTGCAGCATGGACTTTAATAATTACTTCATTTGGAAAACGTATTACAGGGAACAACATACTATTTGAAAAGCGAAGCACATCGTTTCGCCCATATCTGTCTATTATCCATGATGTCATAACTGTATATCTCTGGCAGGAGAGGCTGATATTTCTACATAGACTGGGCTTGATTAAACTTTTGCCTCTTCTAAGGCAAGTTGCAATTGAACCCCGACTAAAAACCAGGCCACTGTATGCTGGCCTATAAAGCAGATGCATCTTTAAATACATTATTACCAATGCATATAGTGGGATCTTAATTTGATTCTGGCTAATATGCTAGTTGTGGAAAATGCAGTCCACACCAATGCTTCCCATCTGCCCAGAGATAATTTTTAGCAAATCAAATCCATGTATGTTTGCCAGCTTAAATTTTTTAAATCTTCTCCTATTGCTCTAATTCTTCTATTACAGAGTGGGGGGCAAGACTCTTTAGAATCAACTTTATCTACAAGGTGCGAAGGAGGATGACCAAACAATCTGACTTTTTCCCCACGAGCATCACAGCCCCAAGGGGTTCGTAGTTTGAAAGATGGAAGAAAACGGGGATCGCTTGGGGGGCCCCCCCAGGTCCCCCTTATTGCAACCGACCAACTCTAATTCTTCTATTACAGAGTGGGGGGCAAGACTCTTTAGAATCAACTTTATCTACAAGGTGCGAAGGAGGATGACCAAACAATCTGACTTTTTCCCCACGAGCATCACAGCCCCAAGGGGTTCGTAGTTTGAAAGATGGAAGAAAACGGGGATCGCTTGGGGGGCCCCCCCAGGTCCCCCTTATTGCAACCGACCAAATCTGAGTGCAAGATCAGCCACCCACTCAGCTCAGCCTCCACCCACGGGAGCCAGCCCCCCCCCCCCAAACGACGGAGGCCGGACGCCGCGCCCACCGCCGTCC